GCCACCATGACCCATGACCATGAGCAGCTTTCCTCCTCCCAGTCCTTTCCACCATGTTCTTTCTGCGTTGAAGCCTGCCAAAACTTCTGACATGTGACACAAAATAAACCTCTCCTCCCTTCAGTTGCAGATGCTGGGTGCTGTGTCCCAGTGATGAAGAAAGTGACTAAAATAGATGATAAATGTAATCTCCATAGTAGTCACAAAGAAAATGTCACAGAACATACACACACACATATACAATTAAAAATAAATCAAAGTGTACCACTAAATACTAAGTATATCCATAATAAATGTATCAATAGTATAAGATTGGTTTAACATCCAACTAAATACAAAACAAGGCAACAATAAAAGAAAAGAAGGACAATAGAACTGTAATACATAAAGAAACCAAAAATGGCAGAAGCTGTTTATTACGCTACTCTTCCTCAAAGTATAAGTGAATTAAACTTATCAAAAGGCGTAGACAGTGGTAAGGTGGATAAAAAGGAAGATCTTGGTAAGATGCAACTATATGTTGTCTTCAAGAGATTCATTTTAGATACAAATACATTGAAAGGATGGGAAAAAAAGGATAGGAAAACATTCAGCGCAAACAATAAACCACATAGATCTGTGATGGGTATAATATCAGACAAATTAGATTTTAAGTCAAAAACTGTAACATGAGACAAGGGAAGGCATTATATATTGATCAAAGGGGCAATTCAACAAGAATATACAGTAATTATAAAACATATATGAACCACATGAGAGAACCAAACTAGAGAAAGTAAACAAAGAACTAAAAGTAACAACAGAAAATTCAATGCAAGTAAGATGTTCAAACTCTATTTTAAGTAAAAATATAACACCTATACAAAAAGTCAATAGGAATGTAGAAAGCTTAAATAACACTAGAAACCTACTAAACTTAGCAGGCATAAAAACTACCCCAAAACAGTAGAATACACATTATTCTCAAGTACACATGGAACAGTTTCCAGAACAAACCATGCACCAGGCCATAAAACAACTGTAAATAAAGTTAAAAACATTAAATCAATCATCTTCTCTGAACTCAAAAGAAATGAAGCTAGATATCAACAGCAGTAGAGAAAAGAAAATTCACACGTAGAGAATTAACCAACCAACTGATAAAACAGGAAATCACAGATAATTTAAAATATTTATAGATACAGCTGGGCAAGATGGTGCACACCTATAGATCTGGCACCCAGGAAGCTGAGGCAGGAAGATTGCCTGTGAGTTTAAATCCATATGGAGTAGACAGTTTTCATTTTTATTTGTTTGTTTGTCGTTGTTGTTGTTGTTGTTGTTGTTTGGTACCAGGGATTGAACTTGGGACCTTGCACTTACAAGGCAGGTGGCAGAACCACTGAGCTAAATCCCCGGCCCATATTGGGTACATAGTGAGTTCAAGGCCAGCCTGAGCTATAAAGTGAGACCCTGTCTCAAAAAAAATCATAGACAAATGCAAATAAAAACATATGACAACTTACAGCAGAGTACAAAGGTACTGCTCAGAGGAAAAGTTGGAGTTACAGATGCTTACATTTAAGAGAAGATATATCTCGAATTAATAATCTAAATTTGTACCTTGAAAAACAAGAAAAAGAATACCAAACTGCAAAGATAATATGAGAAAACAAAGACTAAAGTGAAGACTTTTTCACACAGAAGTAAACAATAAAGAATCAGTTTTAAACAACAAAGTATCAGTTAAAGATGATTGTTTGAAGACAAGCAAAACTAACAATCTTCTTGGTTAGACTGTCAAAGGAATAGAGAAAAGATGCAAATACAATCACCTCTATAGAACAGTGAGATCAGTACCCTGCATTCAACCAACCTGGGATAAAATATTCAAAATAAAAGTTGCACCTGTACTGGATAGGTAGATATTTTTCTTGTCACTATTCCCTAAATGATACAGTATGACAACTAATTACATAAAATTTACGGTGTATTAAGTATTACAAGTACTCCAGAAATTATTTAAAGTGTGTGGGGTGATATGCAAGAGATCTGAACATTCTCATTTTGCTATCTGCAGAGGGTTCAGGAACCAATTCCCTGTGGATATTGAAGGATCCACAAAAATCAAAATGAAATGAGACCATTACTACCAACCACACAAAAAATAAAAAGAATTAGTAAAGGTGCTATTAACAATTGTATATCAACAAACTAGACAAGAAATGAAGTGGACAAACTACTAGAAATAAAAAGATTACCTAAATTGACTCAAACAGGAAATCTCAATAGACCCATAATTGACAAAGAGATTGGATCAGTCATCAAAACCTTCCAATACAAAAAGTCCATGATTACACAGCTTTACTGGTGAAGTCTATTAAACATTTAACGAAGTAACAACATTCTTTCTCAAACTGTTCTGAAAGTGGGCCTGTGGAACACTTCCTAACTCATTCTCTATGACCAGCATTACCGTGATACTAAAATCAGACAAAGACAAAAAATGTATCAATAATATAAGGTTGGTTTAACATCCAAAAATCAGTTAATGTAATTCACTATAGTAGTGATGGTGAACCTATTGCACATGTGCAACAGCAGTCTGTTTGTTATCACTGAAAGCTCAAAGTTTGCCAGTACTGCACTGCACCAATAAAAAAAGACCAAAACTATATAATCATCTCAACAGAACTGGAAAAAAGCATTTACTAAAATTCAACACTATTTCATGATTAAAAATACTCAAGCTAAGAATAAAAGAATTTCTTCAATCAAACAAAGTAACATTTTTAAAAGAGTGGAGCTAATGTCATACTTTAGGGTAAAAAAAGTGAATGTTTTCCTCCTGAGATCAAGTACAAGACATGGATATGCACACTCCTTTATTCAACACTATACTAAAAGCTCTGGTCAGGACAATATGAAATAAAATCAAATAAAAAGCATCCTCTAGGGATTTAGCTCAGTGGTGCCACCACCTGCTTTGCAAGTGCAAGGTCCTGATTTTGATCCCTGTTACAAAAAAAAAGCGACCAGTCTAAAAAGGAAGAAATAAAATTACTCTATTTGCATACTGTATTATATGTAGAAGATCCTGATAAATCTACCAGAAACCTATTAAAATTAGTGAAGTTGTTCAGAAAGATTACAGTCCACAAGTTCAATATATAAACATTAATGTCTATACACTAAAAAATGAAAGATCTGAAAAGGAAAAAAATGAAAGATCTGAAAAGGAAAAAAATGAAAGATCTGAAAAGGAAATAAAGAAACAATTCCACTTATAATATCATTAAAAAGAATAAAATTCATAGGAATACAATTACTTAAATAACAGCAAAATTATACTATGAAGCTCCAAACATTGTTGACAGACATTTAAATAGAATTAGATGAAAGATATCATAGTTCATAGATCAGAAGACCTACTACCGTTACACTGGTAATTCTTATCCCTCAAATTGACCTTCTTTCAAAGTGTCAAAACCCAGCTGAATTTGTAGAAATGGCAACCTTGATTCTAAAATTCATATGGAAATGGAAGAAACACAGCAGAGCCAACCTTGAAAAAGAAAAATGAATTTGGAGACATACACATTTCAAGTTTGAAAACCTTCTACAAATGTATAGTAATCCAAGACAGTGTGATAAAGACATGAAGGTAGTTGTATACATCAAAGGAATAAATGGAGGTCAAAGAATAAACTATCATAATTACAGTCAAATGATATTCAATTATGGTTCTGGGACAATTGAATTAACAAACATAAAAGAAAGTAGACCCACATTTCACACCACATTAAAAAGTTGTCAAAATTGTTGTTAGATACATCACCAAAAACCTGAGTAACAATAATAAAAACACAGATAAATTAAATGTCCTCCAGATGAAAACTTTTGTGTTTTAAAGAGCACTATTAAGCTGGACATGATGGTGTATGCCTGTAGTCCTGGCAACTTGGGAGGCTGAGAGACACAGGGATCACTTGAACCCAGGAGTTCAAGACCAGCCTGAACAACACAGAAAGGCCCTTCTTAAAAAAAAAAAAAAAATCAGGAAAGTAAAAATGTAAAAATAAATCCAAGGATTTGAAGAAACATAAAAAATTAAGAAAATAAATGACCAGGATTCAATTTCCTGAATGCTCAGTCATTTTCTGTGCACTAATACCTAATATACTCTCTTACATATCTGAAATGGACTAGATCTTACATTCAAACAATACTTCCCCCTAACTTAAATATTCCTACACATGTGCACTCACACGCATCCATGTAATATATCTATGCTATTGTGGGATATGTGTATCTACATATATTTATTTATATTACGTTTTCTTTGACTATGTACATACATAAAAAGACTACCAGATTGCCTTGTTTCCACCTTTTTCAATAAAATGCAAGGCAAAAGAAAATCTTGAAAAATAATGGGAAAATAAGTGAACAAAAAGTCAAGACAAAGAGAATGTCACAAAAATATTATTATTTTGAAAAATACTGATCAGAAAGGATGTAGACATGAGTGATTGCAACCATTATCTTCTATTAAAACTGTATTTGAAATTTTTAAACCAAAGAATCACTACCTCAGAAACATATCAGTTTTTTAGCTGTTTTATAGAATTTTTTTACACTTTAAGGGCTCTAGAAAATAGTCTTCAAAATAAATTGCAACAAATTCTAGATATATTTATAAATTTAAGCCTTAATTTTAAAACGTCAAAGCCCATGATTCTAAGTATGTTTTTTTTTTCAAAATACATTTTATCTCAAATTGCAATGGCCTTTATTTTTTAATGATTGCATTTTAGGATAACTATTTGAAGTCAGTTTCCTGCTTTGCAACATCAATTTTTAAAAAGCTGTGGGTCTTAAGTGAAAGAATATAAATTAATGCTAGTCCCCAATGGTGGATTTGAATATATAACTCGCTATTTAAAAAAATAACATGTTTTAAACTACCTATAAGAAATTAGACCCAAAATTATAGTGTGAATTCTGTTTTTGATGTGTACCTTTACTTTTGCATCAATGCTGCATTTTTCTTTTCTCCAATGTGTTTCCTCCTTCCTCAGTTTCTCCAGGTCATTTAGCAGGTCAGCACAGCAGATACTCAATTTCTCATTTTCTCCCTCCAGATTTTTTATAAGCAGTCTGTTCTGCTCTTCTTTATTCTGTACACACTCCTTAGTGTCCTGTAGAACAGTACCATGAGGGCCGATAAACAAAAAGAAAAAAAGGTGAGAACTAATCAGCAAATATAAACTGCGCAGTTTTACCCGCATAGCAGCTTGCTCTGTACTTGATGGCCAAGGTCACCTGTGCACTTTTATTGGCCTCTTTTCATGCAGGTGGATGGGTCATATTTTTTCACGGGATGACAGCTTTGATGAGTACACATTTGCAAAGAGCCCATTAATTGATCAAGCTGCCTTTGATGCTGTCCCCAGCTATTTTTGAGACCCACACAGACATATCCTCCCAGACCTGGGTTTTATCAATTAATAATGCCAGTCCCGTCAGAATCTAATTAAAAGAAGCCACACATTCACACTCCTACTTTCTTAGCTCCATTTCCATAATTAACTATTAATCTGAAAGTTATAAAGCTTGGAGTCGTAGCTTTAAAGCATCTTTATCAGAGTTTTTACATGTGAGAAAACTATGGTACAGCAGGGCCTACGGCAATTTTTCCTCCAAGCCTGTCACTTTCTGTGCCACAAAGGCTGACAAAGCTTAAAGCAGGACTTCAAAGCAACATTCCTATAAAACTATGTACAAGTCAACACACCTTAACTTCTTGACTTTTATCTTCAAATTTCTTTTGCAAGTTACTGAATTCTTTTCTCAAGAAAGCATTTTCTTCATCTACTTCAATCTTCTGTTTTACAAGGTCATTTATTTCCTGTTTTAGTAATGATTCTCTCTGTGAAAAAAAAAAAACTGAATCATCAGTAAACCAGTATATTTAAAAAATATATTTTTCCTTGTTTTAGATTTCAACTGCTAAAGATAGGATTAACTTGCTTTCATAACAAAATCTATCATCACAATTCTCATTTCTTGTGACAAGCCCATGGATTTTACCTAAAACGTTCAAGTGTGTTATTTATTTATAAGTTTAAGATGACAAATGGACACTAAATGTTAACCTATACCCAGAAATAAACTTTCAGAATTTGAGCGTACAACAGGAAAAAAATAAAATTTTATAAAACATTCTAGTAAAGCAAATACATGTATACCCAAAATAAGAATTATACTCTTTTTGAAATGTCACCTGGAAAACTTCTTCAGAAAAACATTTAAAGGCAAAAATAATTTTAAAGTATAAAAACTGTTAAATTTGAGTATCAAACAAATCTCTTATCCTGTAGATAGAGTATTCACAATATTTAGAGTGATGTAATTTTTAGTCAGTCTTCTCATTAACTTAAAGATATCTAAATGACTCAGAAACTGGCCTTTATTCGATCTCTGGTCTGTCACTGACACTGATTTCTAACTACCAATATATTATATACTCCTGTTTTTATTCCTTATCCAAATTGCTCCATAGGACTTGAGAATGAAGTGAAATTTAGCGTAAGATTCAGGGACAGAATGTAAAATGGATTGAGTTTAAGGAATAAATTGAGGATATTTTCTATATTGAATATTCAAAAGTTGTGATTTTAATGGTTGATTGTATGTTACTTTACTAAAATATTTTATATACTGAATGTTAAAAAAATAATCTGTTAACCAGGTGAAGAATAAACGAAAAAGTAACCAGAAATATCCTGACATACCTAAAATACAAATGTACCATTATCTTAGAAGTCTGTATATTTGTTGTATATGTTCTCTTATCTTTTAACACCTCCTATCCCCTTTGGGGTTAATCACTATCCTGAACTCTGTTTCTTATTTTTCTCTTGCTTTTCTTTATACTTTGAAGACATATATGCCTATTTAATATATTATAGAGTTTAGCTTATTTTTAAACTAACTACAAGTTAAACTCAAAGTATTACACATACTTTGGCTATTTTTCTTCAATTTGTGCTCCCAAATTCATCCATATTGATTATACAGAAGCAGTACAACTACTTTGGTGTATATTATGGTTGTTACATAAATATACTATAAAATATTTATCTGTTTTTTGTCAGTATACATTTTAGCTTTTCCACATTCGAGGGGAAAGAGGTGCACAGAAACAATGTGGCTATAAACACTTTAAAGCAAATTCCCTGCTATATATAAGCAAGAATCTCTCCCAAGCAGTATTTTTCAAACTATAGATACCAATCTAATAATGGGTCATTAAATCGGTTTCATCATCAAACTGACATTTTTAAAAAATGGATACAATAAAAATTATAAATGATATGCAAATTCTTAGCAGAAAAAAGCATGCCAATAAGAACAAACATATAAAAATAAACAGATCTACTACACAAATTAAAACACTGCCTAAATTTTGTGATGTTTAACTTGGAATATAATTTTTATTTTACATATTATGAAATTCATATTTGATGTCAGTATTGTACCTTTATTATGTGTATCAAGGACAACTACTTTATGAAGTTTTCTTTAAAGTGTGTATATAACACATAATGAAGTAAAATGTAACGGTGTGGAACCATATTAATAGAAGTCTAAAAAACACTTCTCTAAAAGTTTATATAAGAGGTAAACTTCCTAAGCCACTGGCTATCTACATTTCAAGAGTTTGCATCATTCAGTTTCTCCACCAACATTTAAGGCTCACACTTGGGAATGTTTTACAAATCCAGTGGGTATGAATGACACCTCAGCATAGTATTAATTTTTACTTCTGTTTTAACTACTAAACTATGTCAAATTGCATCTGATATCAACTGAACAGCATAAAAATAGATACACTGTACAAGAATGGCCCACCCACAATTCATAGTTGTTTTTGCTACTCACACGTCTTATCTGTATTTAAATTCAACTTCCAACACCACCACCTCCATGAATTCTTGTTATTTCTAAATGTCTATATTGCATATATTATTCATGTATTATATTACTTATAGTCTTGCTAATTATTTTTCTACATACCCATATTATCTTTCAAGCTATATTACTAAATGTTACAGTGCTCGCTTCAGCAGCACATATACTAAAATTACTAAATGTTTCAGAAGAAACTGAGACTGAATGATAAATTCAAAGATGTGAACTTTGTAAGTCCTAAAAAATCTGTATAGGCCTGTCTTTTAAAACTTTAGTATCCCTCATCTATTTTGGACTCTGGGAAGAACTCAGTAACTTGAAAGTTTTACCAGGTTTTTCCAATTAAACTGAGCTACACTTAACAGGCACTGACAATATAAATGATACCAATATACAAATTTATGAGATTATTTAATAAAGTATGCCATTTGGATGTATTTAATTCTTCATAAGGACAAACAAATACCTAATTTATAACTTAAAACTCATAATAATGTGGGTTAGTGGTTAACCCAAACTATCATACCCAATAATTAGGTTGGTGAATACGGTAGTACATTGCATAATTAGTACCATTACATAAAGAGGCACTTTTAAGAGAAGAGGGCTGATAAACTCTCAAAAATGTATAAGTATGTATAATTCAACGTATTTTCCTAATGAAATATGCTCTAAATGATCTACTTTAAGTAAGGAAAGCGTAAGTTATATGCAATAAAATGCAATTTAAAGTTTAGCTTTTTGAAACTTTTTCAACAAACCTTCATAGATATCAGAGTAAATCCCTAATGGTCTGGCTTAAGGTAACATTAAAATAGCAAACAAAACTCAGAAGAACAATAAAATATAAAATATAAAGAGTTACAAGAAAAAGTATGTCTGAAACAAATAATTTATTATGGAAAATGCCAAGAAATGGATAATTCAAATCATGGTCCAGAGACATCTATAGAGCAAAAGAAGGATACTAATTAAGTATGACATAGAAACAAAACAGAACAACAACAAAAGAGTTACAACACAAGACCTAAAACTCTACCAGGCAATATTTGAGTATAGTTAATTCACTGCTAATACTAAACTACTTTCAAAATGGATTAAGTTTTCATAAGAAATAGAAAAGTAATGCAACCACAACAATTAAAACAATAGTAAATGGAGTAAGAGGAAGTGATAAGAATGAACAGCACTTGAAAGCAAAACTTATTTTTGAGCTTTCTACAAAGTGAGAAATAAAAGGTTAAAGAGCAATAATCATTTAATTAAGGGCAATATATCAGGTTATGAGAAGTCATGTCATTTAGTGTAATGCTAGAGGGGAAACTACTTATATCATTTATTTGATTCATTCAAATGAGAACAATATAAACTGAAAATATATAATTCCTTTAAATCTATCAAATAATTTAGATCATTAGGCAAACCAATACCTCCAAAACTGAAAAATCAGGAGGATACAGAAAAATAATAGTTCACTAGAATTAAAAACCAAGAGCAGAAAGGTCCATGGAAATCAGAAAGTACCAGGATAAGAAAATCTAATCTTTAATGAATACATTACTGGAGAATCAGTGTGAGCAAGTTTGAGAGTTAAAAGGACTCCAAAAGGGAGGAATTGGCAGGTGTGTACAGTTCCATGAGTTTGCCTACAGGAGCCCTGTCAAGTTATTATAGGGATGGCTAGAAAAAAATCCCTTCCTGCTGCTAGTTGGGTTAGGGAGTATCATTTTTAAACATTCTTTTCACTTTATCAAGATCTATTATTAAGTGAAACTACTTTACCAGAGACCAGCTTGGTAGGGTTTTACCAATGAATCCAAGTGTTATGGCTTAGATATATAATGTCCCCCCAAATTCTCATGTGTAAGGAAGGTAGCAGGCTCATAGGAGTGACTTGTTAGGAGGTAGGCCCTGATTAGAGGGAGGTATATGGGAATGTGACCTAGAAGAGATACAAAGGGAGACAGATATAGAGATTAGAGGCAGAGGCAGAGACGGAGGCAAAAAGTATATTTGAGACAACTTCAAATCTGTATATTCTAGATTAAAATCAAGGTGAATATCCTGAGATTGCCAAATACACTAAAAACCCTGCTTCCATTTCCAAAATTCTGCCTTTATGAAGCAGGATTTTCTGCAAGGACAGCAACCAAAATGAAATTATAGAGGGGACAGGATATAAGCAACACACTTCAGACATCACTGTCTCCTATCAACTCCAGAGAGTACCATCCAGATACAAAAAAAAAAACAAGCTCAGGGCTCCCACTGATTCTGCATTGGTATGAGCTGTATATCATTTCATTATATATTACAATTATAGACAACTAAGTTAGGTAAAAATATTATAGACAGTCAGACAGGGCTAGGCCCTCAAGAGAGTGCAGAAGATGAGAACACATTACAACTATGACTAGAGGTGCATCTGTCAAAGGCCAGGTCTCAAGATAAAGATGGAAGACCAGATCTACATACCCCACTAAGGAAAGGCAATAACCTGAGATTATATTATGATTGGTATCACCTGGTCTAACTAAGTCTAGATAGACATCAGTCACCCACGTAGGTGACCTCCAGACCCATCCCTTCCTAAAAATTTCTTCGTTCTTTCATGTATACTTGCTACTGATCTGCTTCCTACTGGGTCAATATTACCTAAGCAGCTATACTTAAAATCTTATTGGTTGATTATAATTGGACCCATATTGTATCTACCTTGTGATTCTGCTCTATAAAACATTCTCATATAAGTGGGCTCTATGGCAACCTACTTTCTGGTCCCTACTATCTCTCAAGAGCTATCTCTCAATAAATTTTTCCTACTTTCAACATCTACTGTTCCTTAGAATTCATTCTTTGATTACAGGGGACACAAACTCAGCATATCTAACATCTAGCAGGTTGGGAGCTGCATTTTCCTTTCTGTCATTACAATATAATAATAATAGAAATAAAGTGCACAATAAGTAATGCATCCGAATCACCCACAAACCACCACCCATACACCCACCACTCCAGTCTACAGAAAAAAAGGCTTCCACAAAACCTGCTCCTGGTGTCAAAAAGGTTGGGGACCACTGCTCTAAACTCAGAAATGAAATTAGGGTGTCCACTCTCACCATTTAGGGTCACCACAGTACCTGAGGACTTAATTCCAGCAATTAGGCAAGAGAAAGAAGAGACACAAATAGGAAAGGAAGAGATCAAATTACCCCTATTTGCAGATGATATGATCCTTTACCTAGAAGACCCTAAAACATCCACCAGAAGACTTTTGCATCTGATAAATCCTGCAAAGTAGCAGCATACAAAGTAAGCAAGCAGAAGTCTACACCTGTTCTATATACCAATAGTAAATCTGCTGAGGAAAAATTTTTTTAATTCTATTCACAATAGCTTGAAAAAAATTAAAATACTGAGGAACAAACCTAAGGAGGAAGAAGAACTCTATGATGGAAAATATAGAACATTGATGAAATAATTCAAGGAAGACACTAAAAGATAGAAAGACTCCTATACTCACATATCAGCAAAATTAATTTTATTAAAATGGCCACATTAGAAAAAGGAATATACAGATTCACTGAAATTCTCACCAAAATTCCAAAGACATTATTCCAAAATTAGAAAATAAAACGATACTGAAATTCATATGGAAGTACAAAAGAAATAGAATAGCCAAAGCAATCTTGACTAAAAAGAGCAGTGCTAAAGGTATCAAAATTCCCAGTTTCAAAATATAATACAAAGCCATAGTAACAAAAACAGGATGACACTGGCACAAAAAGAGACATGTGGACCAGTGGAATACAATAGAAGACACAGAGACAAATCCACACAACTATAGCCATCTGATTCTTGACAAAGGATCAAAAGCATATATCGAAAAAACAGTCACATCAACACATGTGCTAGGAAAACTGGGCATCCATATGTAGAAGATTCAAACTAGGTCCCTATCTCTTACCCTGTATAAAAAAATAAATTCACAATGGATCAAAACTTAGGTATAAGATCTACAGCTCTAAAACTCCTAGAAGAGAACACGGGGAAACACTTGAAGCTATAAGTACAAACAAAGACTTCCTGCACAAGATTCCAATATCACAGAAAATAATGGTAAGAATCAACAAATGGGATTACATCAAATTTAAAAGCTTCTCCACAGCAAAGGAAGCAAGAGAATGAACAGACTACCTACAGATTGAGAGAAAATCTTTCCTAGTTACCTGTGTCACAAAGGATTAATATACAGAATAAATAAAGAACAACAACAACAACAAAAACACCTAATCACTAAAAGAGCAAATGAATTCAACAGATACTTCTCAAAAGAAGTACACATGGCAAAAAAGCATATGAAAAATGCTCAACATCTTTAGCCATTAGGAAAATACAAATCAAACTTCACTGGAATTCCATCTTTTCCTAGTCAGAATGACTATCAGTACCCAGAAAATGCTGGTGAGGATGAAGAGGAACTCTTCTGCATTGCTAGTGGGAATGTAAGTTAATACAATCACTATGGAAATCCATAAGGAGGCTCTTCAAAAATTAAAAAGAGCTACCATTTGATCCAGCTGTATCACTTCTCATTATATTCTCAAAAGAACTGAAGTCAGAACACTATAGAGATACTAGCATTCTCACTGCAGCACAATTCACAAAAGCTAAGCTATGGAACCTGCCTAGATGCCTATCAATAGATGAATGCATAAAAATTCTACATAT